CAAAAGAAAAGAAAGGCAGGGTCTGGGAGTAGTGGGGTCCTGACCTCAAGATTTATCCCCCACCAAACAGGAAGCAACAGGACCAGAAAAGGCCAATAAGGAAAAAAAGTGGAAGTGTGAATGTTGATTGGGTGTGTGGAATGTAAGAGGAGCAAGACAAAGTGAATGAATTAATATGGGAAATGACTAAGTTAGATGTTATTTGCATGAGTGAAAGGAGAGTGAAAGGCAAGTATGTGAATGGGAATGTATTGATTTGGTCTGATGTGCAAGAGACAGAGTGAACAAATGCAAGAGTAGGTGGTTTAGTTAATGTATATATGAAAGCATACATGAAGGAGCAGAAGCAAGTGAATGAAAGAATGATGCAGGTACACAGTACATTTCAATATGAAGATGCAGAGAGTGATTGTTGTCATTGTGTATGCTCCAGTGGATACTGCTGGGAATGCTGAAAAGGATGAGTTTTGAGAAAAGTTAAGAGATGTCTTTGGTAAGTGTTATCTCAAGAGCATGTGATTATAACTGGAGATATGAATGGATGGATGGGTGTGAAGAGACATACATCTGAGAGAGTGCAGGGTCTGTGAGACAATGTGTTTGGTGACAGAGAAAATGTTTTCTTGAAGCAAATCATTTTTAAAACACATCATTACGAGTGACAAAACATGGATCTGTTTTTTTGACATAGAAACAGCTCAACAATCAAATGAATGGTACTTGAAAAATAAAGCAAGATTGAAAAAACCATGTCAGTCAAAGATCAAGGAGATGTTGATTGTTTTCTTTGACTGTCATAGTGCTATGCATTATGAATTCCTTTGGACTGGCCAAACTGTCAACAAAGAATATTATTTGAGTGTTTTGCATCATTTGTTTGAAGCAATTCATAGAAAACAACCTGATTTGTAGCAAGAAAACTTGTGGATATTTTGTACCATGATAATGCATTTACTGGCAATACTCTTGTTAATCATGAATTCTGACCAAAAATTCATGATCAACAAGAGTATTGTTGGTAGGTGTATAAATGTAACAAATAAGGTTCTACAAGCTCCATATTTACCTGATATGGATTGTGACTTTTCCTGTTTCCTAACTAAAATTTCCACTTTGTGGTCATTGTTTTGAGTCAATTGAGGCCATAAAAAATTTACTGCAAGTCCCAAAGGGATTTCACAAAAATGACTTTTAAAGCATGTTTTGAGGATTTGCAAAAACATTGGCATAAGTACATTGCTGTGGGAGGGAAGGATTACTTTGAAGGGAACAAAATAAGTTTTGATAAATAAATTCAAATCTTGCATTTTTTTATTGAACCATTCCTGATACGTTTTGAATCACAGGGATATGAAGATAAAAAGAAACTTTTGGCACTAACTTTTTGTTAATATAGAATGATCAGATATTTTTAAATAAGAATAACATATAGAAATTGTATCAGATTTATCCAATAGATGAAAATTATATAACAATAATCATCTGAAAAATGTTAGATTAATAATTCCAAATAACTAGGATTACTTAACAAGCATATAGTAATAGCATAATACATTTTTACTATCAATGGTCACTGTCTAAAACATTTTAAATATGTAAAAGAAAAAAAGCTAAAAAGAGTCCATCTGGTCACCCTAGTTAATGCCAGATGGTTAGTAATATATTTCCTGAGACAGAAGTGGCTGTTTTGATAGTTGCTAAATACTTTATAATGCTAATAAACAGACATTAACCTATAAGGAAATCTTTAAAAAATAGCTGTTTCTTTAGTTTTATTTAAATTTAAATTTAAATATACATGATGGTATCATGTATCATAAAAAACAGTTTAAAAGATTGCCAGTAATATTTTTAAAAAGTGAATCATATTATGGAAGGCAGTCCACATTCTGATCTGGGAGTAGTGTTGCCATTTTGGAGGATTTACCTACAGATCTGGAGGAATTTGAGGCAGAGAGAAAGGATAAAAAATGTTAGAGGTGTATTTGACAGTGGCAACTTCCAGACCCAGAGCAGCAAGGAGAAATTGTTTTTAACTTGCATTCTATAAAAACCAAGTTGCACAATAAACTACATATCACTATATTTTAATTTTTTAAATTTTTAGTTGTTGTTTTAATTGTTAAAATAAGTGATTTCAATAGATTAAAAAAATAAATCATACTGAAAAATGTCACTAATTTTAGCATCAATATAAGTACACAATTTATATAAGCAATTTGTTATGTATATATAATAATTATTAACTCAAGAAATATTTTGAAAGCCAGAGAGAATTGTTTTCATTCAATAACATGCAAAGAACCTTAAACATTCTTCCAGCAAAAAAATGTCTTTTAATTTTCACAATAGCAAACGGGGAAAGAAAAATAAATGTGAGAAAAATGTATTAGTGTAGACGTCAACGTAATCCTACAGGCCACATACAAATGGTTAGCCAAATATACTAAAGCCAAGATAACATATAGATGACACCCAACTATTTTTCAATTATTGTCCAATACCAAGGATAAGCCAAATGAAAACAACACTCAAGGGGTTTATTCCGTCCCCTTACATGATAGCAGATTGGACAGAAATCTGATCTATGTGGGATCTACTTAGATTCATAGGATTGCAGAATATAAATATGATATATCTAATTATAAATGCACAACTTCACTAGCCCATTATGTAAATGAGCCTGACAATCAACTGGGAGGATGCAAAACTAATTAGAAAAATCTGATTTAAAAATACTAAGAATCCTAGATCCGTGGAAAATTTTTAATATACAGTAGAGCAGTGGTTCCCAATTAGTTTTTCCTGCATACCACTTCAAGAAAGAGCTCAAACTCGCGTACCCCTTATAGCAGAAATTCATATTAATCCATACTAATATAAATTCAAAGGTAATTCTGCCTGTCTGTCACCTTTTCACATCTAAACTGCTGANGATACACTACTATAACCCTAAGCGTAGAAAATCGTGGGGTAAGCCCGGTCATGCATCAACATCGTCAGCAAGGCCGAATATCCATGGTTCGAAGCTTCTGCTCTGCATTTGGTGGGATCAGCTAGGTGTAGTTTATTACGAGCTGCTCAAACCAAACGAAACCATCACGGGAGATTGCTATCGACTACAATTGATGCATTTGAGCCAAGCATTGAAGGAAAAACGGGCGCTATATGAGCAGAGACACGGCAAAGCGATTTTGCAACATGACAATGCTCAACCACATGTTGCACAACTGGTGAAAACGTACTTGGAAATGCTTAAATGGAAAGTCCTACCCCACCCGCCGTATTCACCAGACATCACCCCTTCCGATTATCACTTGTTCCGATCGATGGCACATGGCCTGGCTGAGCAGCACTTTCGTTCTTATGAAGATGCCAAAAAATGGGTTGATTCTTGGATAGCCTCAAAAGACGTGTTGTTTTTCCTATGTGGAATTCAAATGCTGCCAGAATGATGGGAGAAAGTAGTGGCTGGTGATGGACAATACTTTCAGTGACGTGTTTATTACGACTTTTTTTAAATAAAGTGTTAATTTTCACAAAAAAACAGCGAGAACTTATTCAAGGTCCTTATAGTAAATGATCCACTTAATAAAAAGTAATATATAATGATACTAGTATAATTATCTTTCTGTTAACTTTTTATTATAACCAATTTTTTACATGTTGCCAATGTATGTTGTTCTTTTTGACTGTTTTTGCCACCTTTTTCAATCAGCTGGTCAACTGTGATCAAATTATTGAGCAGGTATATTATAAATCATAGAAACTTAGAAAATTTGGTCTCTGTATTTGCACCTACATATTTTATTTGGCCCATCACTTAAAAATGTTGTCCGCCTGTTCATATTGTGTTAAATTTTGAAAATTGTATTTATTCCATTTTTATATTTTTATCTAAAGAAGGTGATTATGTATTATCATGGAAAGTATTCAAAATCACATTTCTTTTTAAGCTCAGTATTCTCTTTGTTTTCTCTCTTAACACCAAAAAGACTATTCATTCCATTCATTTACTTAATGTACTGCATTGGCTTCTTTTGCTGTTGATAACGATGTCCGCATTTACTATGACAATGCCCAATTACTGCAATGGTGTGAGGACACAGCCAACCTGAAATATCTCAAACAACTGGAGATATTTAAAGCATTTAGGAGGGGAACAGCAATTAATTTTAAACAAGAGAAGAACAAATTATCACACAGGCATTAATTACGTATAAATATCACTATATTTCCAAGTTCTTTCGACGTGCTATAAAACGTCATCCTCAGGCAGACATAATCTCAAATAAAATTTTTTCAAACAGAGATTTCAAATTAAAACTAATGGCATTAGTCCATTAGAACAAAGCTAAACTTAGAACAACTAAACTAGATTAATTTTAAAGAAATGGACTCATTAGCAGCTGTGTGGAGGGTATGCTTTGACATAAAATATCTTTGTCAAGTGTGTTTTTTATATTTTATACTTCTCCCAAATGAATAATTCTTTCTGATTATTGCACCATTTTAGTAATTTTGTTTGGGCCCAGAGTGGATAATAATCTCGGTCAGGTAATTTTTGTATATCATGCAAACAACCTTTTCACTTCCTAGCACAAATTTAATGATTGGACAAATATTTATGAGCTGCTTTATAGATCAACTTCAGGTCTATCCATAAATTAACTTTTTTTTTCTATTTCCGGAAAATTAGAATATTGAAAATTCATTACGACAATTTTTAAATTTTGGTATTTTACAAAGTGTTGCTGGAAATTTATAAGGTTGTTTGCATGATATTGTTTGATTATTTTCCAGTTTGAATTTCCTTTTTCATATTTTTCCTAAATTCAAGTTAAAATTATTTTTTATTGCACTTCAACATCTGTTTGTGAATATTTTTACAATTAAAAATCAGAATATGATTTTCCTGTTTTTATATTCCTACACTATACTCTAAATTTAATGTTATAAATTTTAAATTTACAAATATATATATATATTTTATTCATTACCAATGGCACATCTTCTTGATCATCATCATCTATATTTCCAGGTAACTGATCCTGATCTTCATTCTGACAGCATTCTCCATTATTAATATTCGTAGTAATTCGAAACCCTAAGAAGTTACAGTCCTCATCATCACTAAAGATGGCAGGTTCTCCATCCCATACATCTTCAATGAAGGCAGACTTGCGTAGCAGAAGGTGAGCAGGGGGTGGGTAGGGACAGTTGGCAGGCAGAAGGATAGGTGGGACATCTGCAAAACAAGCAAGGGTGCAAACAAAACACATGCACCACAATGCCCCATACAAAGCCATTCCATAACAAGTGCATACTTTACTAAACATGCTCACAGTGCTCCACAAAATATAACATTAATCATGGAATATGAAATTACTTTCTCTAATTTCTTAGTCCTGTTCAAATCATAATTATTACTATAAACATGCAGTAGTGACTAGGTCAACTACTGTTTCTAAAATACAAATGAAACACATGGAGCACGTCAGCACATTCAGAGCATAACCAACCTATAATGTAAGTGGCAGTGGACAGCTAGTACCGTACAGCGGAACCAACCCATTGCTAAAAGGACATGGGACAGTCAAAACAGCCAAACATGCACAGTATAGCTAAAACCAATGCCATTATTATTAATATTAATATTATTATTTATTAATATATAAACATATATATATATACACATATATATTATATATACATATATATATATAAATTAAATATAAGTACTCTACACCAGAACTATAGTATCCAAATAAGCTAGCTAGCAGAGAAATAGCATTAAAAAGCTTCAAAAAGCAAACCATATTAATAAACTAAAAAATTATTTAAAAACTGTACATTTCTTTCAAATAATATATAATTGCAATTATAATTATATAATTTCAAACTATTATTGTAATTAAATATATAGCANATAATTTACTGTTATAGACATTTTATAGTCTGATGACATACAGTATTGGTTGGCTTGTAATTTTATAATGTATTAGGTCTTAGAGATGTTGGTTTAAAACTTATTGTATTTAATACATTGAATACTTTAACAGTTTTTTCAGGATTCTTATTAAAATTTCAAAAAACAGTGAAAACATAATCAGTATTTCATATCATCTACTGACAACATTAACAACTTCCAAAATTGTCTATTTCAATTAAATTGTAGAATTTCGTTGGATGGCAATTATGTTTAAAAATTAAATTGAAGACATAGTATGTTGAAAAAGGAATAACCATTTATTCATTTTCAATGTTCTGAAATACAAACTTTTGGCAACTGACCTCTCTCTATAGGCTACTTAGTTGTCAAAATTAAACTTCCCTTTAAAACACAGAAAAAATATCCAATTAGAAACACAGTTTTAAAAATTGGAACTGGCAATGCCACATATGTCTTCTTTCCTTCCATCCTTACCACTTAGGGACCTAACTTTTTGTCTGTTTTAAGTTATGTGCACTGTGAAATTCCCAACTATTTACAGTATAATGTAGTCATGTTATTATTCCAGCTCTGACCTTCTCAAAATCTTCAAAACTTATTCAAATTTTTATGCTTTAATGATGTAATTAAAATTTTAAAAATTACATACTAACTTAAAGATAAGAGAAACTAATCTGCTAGTACGCTCTCAAATAGAAAGTGTTCTAGCTAAAAAAAATTGGATAACTCAAATAGTTGAGTAGAAATGAAAGACTGAAATTTCAACCAAAAGTATGAAAGCAATTATCTCAAAACAGCATTTTTGGAATTCTGTCACTAAAGTTCTCAGCAGGCAATATATTACACTGATGGCCATTAAAATTGCTACACCATGAAGGCAGCATGCAACAAATGTGAAATTTACACGAAAGGTACAGTACAACATGCTGAGATATGCAAATGATTAGCCTTTCAACACATGCTTGCAAAACAGGTAGGAATAAGGCCACCTACAATCTGTATAAAAGGGAAGCTTGTAAAGCTGGTTTCTCATATGGAAATGGCATTTGCACGTTGATTGTTTGTCATAAGGTTTTTTTTTTTGCCCCATGTAAGAAGGAGGAATGCCTACCAGTATCTGTCAGAATCTGATCATGGTAAAAGCATGTAGAAACTGCAGTTCATTGTACCACGCTATTGCTGCTTGCATTGGTCATGATTGTAACAAGATTATTGAATTAATTGGTCCAGGAGGGCCATACAGAATGTCCTCTTGGGCGTAACTGATCAGGGATTGCTGAAATCCTGCATGGCAAACAGCTTTTTCAAATGGTCTTGCGAGATCATACAGCCACGTCATGTATCCTGAATCAGGAACTTGGGTGTTTTCAGAACAAGTGTCTACACAGACAGTTAGACAATGTCTGCAGCACCATAGATTATCAGTATAGCTACTATTGCTGTGGCTTTCCTTGAAGCTGTAGCAAAGACAAGTATTGCATACAATGGTGCATTCAACAATGAATATGGATGCAGGAGTGACATCATATCATCTTTTGTCATGTTTAAATCAAGCCCAGTTCTGCATAGAGCATCATTTTGGCCATATCTGTATGTGGAGGCACCAAGGGGAATGATCATTGCTAGTTTGCATTCCTCATCATCTTGCATGTGCAGCACCTGGAGTGATGGTATAGAGTGCCATTGGGTATGCATCACAGTCACATCTTGTTTGCATAGCCAGTAATTTGGACAGCCACCATTACGTTTCTGATGTGTTAAGGCCCATCGCTGTACCCTATTTTTGAGGTCTTTATCAAGCTACCTTTCAATAGGACAATGCACAACCATATGTTGCCCATGCTGTCCTGGCTAGTATGATCTCCAGATGTGTTACCAATTAAGAACATTTGGTCAATGGTTGCTAAGAAACTGGCATGCCACCACTCGCCAGCCAGTACAATAGATAAACTCTGGCATATTGAAGCTGCATGGAGTTCTGTACCTGTAACTGCCATCCAAACTCTGACTTAATGCCCAGCTGTTATTGCTGTCAGAGGCAACTGCTTTGGGTACTCATTTCTTCATGCTCTATACCTCAAAATGGTCTGTCTATTTAATCATGTTTTCCTCCCATTATACTGTTTGTGTACAATAAATATGATCCTGCCATTTGCTTTCCTTCCTGGTGTAACATTTTTAATGGCCAGCAGTGTATGTATGGTTAGTTCAATAGAAACCCATTTGACCTGTATAAATTCTGTTTGGTATGTCAGACATCCCATAAAGCCATGCAACACATAGGTTGAAATGCCATCTAGCCTGTGTACTAGCATTGTTATGGTTGGTGGCATAATGAGCATGTTACAGCCACTGAAAAATGGCATTCACTATTCACAAACCATCAAAACTGACCAGAATACTTTAATTCAGTTTTTGAGTGTGGAAGGCTTCTAGCTTGCTGAGATTCATTGTGTTTTGAAGATAAAATAACAGATTTGAGCAAAGAGTTCCAGAATACAGTACAGACAACCAACAGCAGATAAGCCATGGCATGAACCTGCAACAACAACCAAAATGGACAGGAATTTTGCAGCAGTTGAAGAACTGATATGACAAATCATTCATATCAACATTGAAGTTCATTGCAATGAAATTAAGTATTAGCATCAAATCAGTTCATTCCATTGTTTGTGTTCTCAGATTCAACAAGATTTGCTCACAGTGGGTTCTGCAAGAACTGAATGCAGATCAAAAGACAATATGAATGGGTTTGTCAATACAGCACCTGTAACATTACCACACAAAGAAAACAAATTTCTGTGAAGAACTGTAGCTGGTAATGAAACATGGTGACAACACTATGAGCTGGAATCTCAAAGATTCATTTTACAATGGAGACGTCTGGCCCAAAACATGAAAAGTCAACTGTCTCCAAGAAGGTTATGCTAACATTCTTTTTTTGATCATGAAGGACCATTACTAGTGGAATTTCAGCAACCAGGTATAACTACTAATGCTGAATGATACATTGGAACACTTGATTGCCTGCACACAGTCATTAAGAAGAGATATCCTGGTAAACTGAGTTGTGGAGTCATTCTTCTTCACAACAATGACAATGCCCATAAAGCAAACATCACCAAGTTCAAACTGGAAAACATGCATTGGGAACAGCTCGACCATCTTCCATATTGTCCTGACCTCATCCATTGCAACTTCCAAATCTTTGGGCAGCTCAAAGCTCTTACACTTCAGTCAGATGGTGAAGTAAGAAAGACTGTTTTGAACTTTTTCAATCACCAGCCAATATGCTGTAGCAGTATGCTATATTTTTGTACATATTAATTTAAGTTTAGTTTAATCTCTTCTTTCTATCCTTTGTCCTATTGTTCTATTTCCTTCTAGAACTTTTTTATCTTAATCCCTGTCCCTTGGGTGGGATGACCAGTTCTGAGAAATGGTGAAACAAAGGAGTAAGCAGGGCCCTGACGGCAAACAGAGAAGAGACAAAGGCATTCTCTTGCGGAACTTCGAAGCGTACGGAAGAGAACACTCTGAGTTGCGTTAGCAACGACTGGAGGTCTCAGAAGTATGTTAAGAGAAGGGTTCCTGTCTTAAGGGAGAATCGACGATGGTGAAAGAAAAATTAAAAAGGGAACTTTACGTATAGAAGAAAAAGACAACAAGTCGAATTTTTGGTGATTATCGTGTGGCATCTCACTCAACAGCACGCATAGTGCAAGTACGCCAACAAAAATCCTGGGCATTTCTGTTTCTATCGTATGTATTCTTCCTTCGTCCCCTTGTTTCTATCCTTTTCTTCCATTAGCGTTAAGTTAGTGTATAAGATTAGTTTTAAGCTTGGGCTGCATCTTATTGCGATTTGCAATCAGGATCGGTACCGCACATTTAGATCTAATGAACTATTGTCTTAACAGTAAATTCACATATGATTGTAATGTATTGTTACGTTGGAATTATCAATCAAGAATCTATATATGTACGCGAAATTGTTTAATTGTAAAAATATATCATTTATCATTTTTACTGTATCCTGTCTGCCTTTGTGGTAATTTTAATTTCGCACACTTTTCACAATGCGTCTTCAGGAGGAATTTTTTGCTTGAATTAATGGAACACATACCTTAATGCTGATAAATATTATGTGTAACTAGCATCAATAGAAACAAAAATACTTAAAGATGTATGGGTTTCTATTGAACCATATATTTAAAAACAGATAATGACTGTTAAAACAAAAATCATAATTAAACCTTCATACATCAATATTATATAATTAACAGTAATGAAAGCTACTTATGAATTATTTTTGTTTACAATATATTACAATACAGTACTTATCTAATTATAAATTAACCATAAAGTAATAAAAAAGTCACCTGAATCTTCTCGACGAGAAGCACCTCCAGTTAGATCTAATGGTTCATCTTCTTCTTCCTCTTCATCTTCATCTTTCTCTTCAAGGCTTAGAGGTAAGGGCTGAACAGTAATGCAGTTTCCTATTTTAAAATAATACTAAATGTAATATAATTTGAAATAATTTGTAAAAACCTTTAAGAAAATCATCATAATTTAAAAATTAAAACAATATACAGTATATATTTTTTAAAATATATAAAAAGAAAAGTTCATTTAAAAAGACTTTTCAACAAGATATATAGATCTTTAATGTACAATGGTACTTTAAAGGACTCTAACTTCAAATGTTCCAGAGTTCAAACACTAAATTCGAGAAATTTGACCAGAGTTCAAATGATGCTTCTACATTCAAACTGCACATGCAATGAAAAAATGCATTCACTGCATAAATTCCATCTGTTATATGCCCAAGTTGTCTCTTACTCTCACTGCAAAAGCTACTCTTGTGTTATGCTCTGTGTGTTTTCCATGCATTTTTTATTTTATTTTTGGCTTGTTTGAATATATGTATAACCCCTACCTATTATCCATGGCATCCAGAAAACATAAGAGAAAGGTTGCAGTGTTGATGTTTGAGATGGAAAAAATTTTATCATGAAGCACAAAAGCAGTGCACATGTAGAGGATCTGACAGTCATATTTATGTTGATGGTGGTGTGCACTATTCTTAAGTACAAGAAGGCAATAAAAGCAGTAAATATGACATAAGGTATGATGACATTGACGTCCAAAAGCTCACATATTATTGAGATGGAAAAACTTCTCTTAGCATGGATAAATGAGAATCAATTGGATGATTATATCATCTCCAAGATGATTATTTGTGAGAAAGCTAAGCAATCTGCACAGTGACTTTAAGAAATATGACATCACAACACCTCACTAGTATAGTAAATTCAATTTTCATTTTATTAAATGGTATTTACATATTTTATTTATTGTTTCCATGCTTTAATTTATTATTTATGGCATCTAATTATGTTATTTTTACTTTAAATTGTGTTTATTTGCTGTTTAAGTTTATCAAAATGGGTATTGTTTAAGGTCTGGAAACAGATTAATTCACTTTCCATTATTTCTAATAAGAAAAACTGATTTTGACTTAAACAATCCAGAGTTTGAACTGCCTTCTGGAATAAATTAAATTCGAAGTACAAGACATCACTGTATCTCTATAAAACCTCTCATAACATGTGAAATAAAATAAATTTATGATAAATATCCTATTTATAATATTTATTAAAACAATAAAGTCTTTAAAAAAAATGTTAGATAAGTCCAATGTAGAACATAGAAATAAATTATCACAAACGTTTTCAGATTCCTCCTGAGTCCTGCCTCAGATTAAAATTCATCCTATTCTTAGAGGATATGATCAGAACATCCAAGGAATTCAATTTTAAAAGAAAAAAAAAATGAAAAAACTAAAACTGGATGTATTAATTACAATTAATATTAAAACGCTTTAAATCAAATAAAAATTTTAAAAAATAGGCATGTCTGACACGTGCCTAATTTGAAACAGAATACAATAGAATGGATGTTCTGCTTATACATTCCAAGCAGAGAATGAATTTTAATCTGAGGCAGGATTCAGGAGGAATCTGAAAACATTTGGAATAATTTATTTCTGTGTTCTACACTGGACTTATCTAAGGTCATTCAAGACTTTATTGTCTATCATCCAATTCGAGATAAGTGTTGTGGAACAAATAATAACAAAACAGAAGCAAAATCTTTATGAAGCATATTTATGCTCTGCAAAAATTCAGGTGTTATTATTATAATTAATTTTTACGAAACATATAAAAAAATAATTTTAAATTTACTATAAGTATTTCTAAAACTAACATCAACTTTTTTCAGTTATATATTAGAATAGATAATTTGTTTTCTAAAACAATTTTAAATAATATTTAAAATGTTGATCCAAGAATCTTCCTAGAATATGAATTATTCCTAGATTCTTTATGTAGAAAACACATTATATAACAACAATAATTAAAGTTCACTTATTCTAATATTTCTTTAAAAGTAGCTAAAAGTCAGATTTCTTTGGACCATAATTAAGCAGACTTTAATCACTGAAACAGAATAATTTGGACTGAAGGTAAGCAATTAAGTTGATAGCTTGTACTGTGGTGATATGCGATATTACTGTATATATTTTAGATATAAGTTTAGTTTTAAGTTTTCTTTCTTCTTTGTTTCCCCTTTTGTTTTCTCAAATTTTCAACTAATATTCGTTCTTGTGGATGGGGTAACACTTTCTAAGAACCACATTGACAATGGGAAGTGAAAGCCCAAGGCTACTATAATGGATAAGGAGGGTCATTCTTCGGTCGAACTCTCGGTGAAGGAAGATGTGAAAAAGTTACGCTCCTGCTCCTGCTCCTGCTCTAGAAGGACAAAGAAAGACGAAGGTGGCCTACAGAGGAAAAAAGACCCTGTTAACATAAAGAGAGATTAAAGATCATCGGGAAACAATTTATAGTGGTTCCCCACCAGAAGAGCATCAATACCAACCAGAAAACCCAGATATTCTTTATAACCTCTTCTTCTATCATCCTAAACTTTCTGATAATCTTCCTTTCCTCTTTTAGTTTATAATTTAGTGTAAGTATTAGTTGTAAGATTATACGTCTGTCTTTTATTAATTGTCGTGAGTGGGTTCCCTTGCTTTGTATTTACTCGATTCCTTGCACCTATTTTGGATAAGAGATCTGTTCAAAAAATACGCGGACTTGTCATAAAACAAAATGCACTTTAGGTAGAAGTTACATGTCTACGCTACTTTTCCCAATGGTGTTTCCACTTGTTGAAACAGTCCTGGTACGCTTCTTTTGTAATGTCTTTTAGTGCAGCGGAGTAGTGTGGGTGTCAGCCGCCTGGGCGGAGAAAAATTTCGCCGTCCCATTATTAAGGTATCTCAATTTAAAAGACTAAAATTCAGTTTCATAACAGAAGAACAAGTAATGAAAATTGCCTTACCAGTATGGCCACCTGTTCAAATTAGCACCATTGAATATTGGAGGCGTATATGAATAGAAATGAAAAAAAAAAAAAAAAGTGACAGCCTGCGCGCACGGGTGAAATTAACAGTTTACCCGGACAGTGAGTCTATTACCGGACTATTCCATGCTCATTTTAATCGGTCAAAATTGTAGGTGCGACAACACTAAGAGATAAAATGATTCAAATTTTTACAAGATATTATTATTATTATTATTTATTGTGAGATTTTGCCACCCCCTAAAAAGTGCCGCCCAGGACGAGCCGCCCCTACCGCCCCCCCTACACTACGCCATTGCTTTCAGTGCCTTCGTCGCATTTGCCTTAATCTCGGGAATTGTCACAAATCTTTTTCCTTTCAAGGGTCTTTTGAGTTTGGAAACAAGAAAAAGTCACAAGGAGCAAAGTCAGGTGAATAGGGGTGGAGAAGAACAGTGATCAAGTGTTTGGCCAAAAGCTCATGAGTTCTGAGGGCTGAATAGGCTGGAGCATTGTCATGATGGAGAAACCAGTCACCACTCCTCCACATTTCTGGCCTTTTGCGACGGATGGCATCACTCAGACATTTCAGAACTTCAATGTAGTAAGTCTGGTTCACTGTGGAGCTTTGGGGAGGTACTCGTGGGGAACAACACCCTTAGCATCAAAGAAAACTGTCAGCATCACCTTGACATTGGATCAAACTTGGCAAGCTCTTTTGGGTCTGGGGACCACTTCAAACATGTTTTATGCTTCATAGCAACATCACTGTAAGTTGTGTTGAGCATAGCAAATGTTTCAGTCACAGATTTTCCAAGTTTAACACAAAATTTCACAGCAAGTCGTTGTTCCATTAGGTCATTCATTCTGAAATCTGACAAACGAAAAAATTGCACTTCACTAAAAACCACATAACTAATCAACAAATAAAGATATCTGTAATCGGGAAACGGCTTAATCACCAGACGATATGTACAAACCTAGCAACACCAAGCAGATTCCCCTGAAACCAACTGGAGCCGTGCAACTCAAACAGTCCACGTATTTTTTGAACAGACCTCGTGTTCTGTAACACTCGGAGTTGAAATCCAAATAAGAATCCTGTACATTACTATTCACATGAAAATACATAAATAATTGTTGTTATTTATTCATATACTATCTTTCGTGGACCATTGTACACTTGTGTGATTCTCAACAGTACTAATATTAATTTAATTACATTAATTTTAAAATTAAATTTAATAATTTAGAATAGTATAGAATCTGAAAAAAATCTGGATTTTTAGATAGTTGGTTATTAAGATTCAGGCTTTGCTGTTATATATTTGTTTCTATAAAAATACAATTTGTTACAAAGCCTTCAAAGCAGATACATTTATACACAATTACACATAATTATACACTTAAATTTGATATTGCATATATTTTAAGTAACATCTTATTTTAAAAGACACTGTTCTTAATGAAATACAGTAAAATAAAATTTACAAAATTAATCAAAGAAAACTTTTATCTCCCAGGAAAGGTGTTTGGCAGAAATCTCACACATTCAGAAAAAATATAGGTATCTCTCACCAAATATTAAAAATCACCACTATACATGGTAGTGATTCTTGATGGTCTACAACTCTGACACTTATGCAATTCAGTTAGACAAAAACATAAAATGTAAATAGTGAACAGACTTCTAGAGACATGACTATCTGCACATGTTTAGCTAGCGTGATGTGGGAACAGCTCCATTTCTCAAGCATTCAAAGACAAGCATTTAATTTTTTCAGAAAAGGAAACTTGCTCAGAAACTAATGGTAAGTAGATGTAAAAATAGATGACACAAAACAATCTGCCAAAACAAAACATTAAATTAGTGAATCTGTCAATGATAGTGGCAGAACTGATTGATTCTTTTACAAAGGGACTACTGCTGGCAAGTCACTGTCATAAGGATTCTGAAAAATAATGCATGATGTTCTCAGGTTGCATTATTTGTTCAACTTCGGCATTTGGTTCACATGATGAAAATCATCATGTGAACCAAAAGTTGTGGTGGCAATGGTAAACCCTTAAGGAATAGAAGGAAGTTTACTATCCAATATGTCTTTGTCTGCACCCTAAAAGCAAACAGAAGAGCACATGTGAAAAAGAGAATTGCACAGATCTCATCAGTCAATGACTTCTTCAAGTTATGCAATACTGCTGGCTTCAGGAAACAAGAAAATTGATCCAATGACCAAACTACTGCCAAACTCAAGGTTCCAATCTGGAATGTCCAGGAAAGATTACAAAGTCTTTGGCCACACAGCCTGCAGGTATGACAAGAATCTTTCTGCAATTGAAGTCAGCAGTCATCTGCCTACCAAAAGCAAACAAATAAAGAAAAGAGCTCAAAAAAAATTGCAAAAAGAGCCCATTAAAAAAATAGAGGACCCACTAAGGAGCTAAAGGGGCCTTGAGTAGAGTGTGCCCCTTTAGCTTCTTAATAGCTCTTAATGGGTGGCCCTGTCCGCATATACTAAGAAAGCTGTCCACCAACTTCCACAAGTATTTCCACTTCAGGATTCCTAAAAATGGTAGTGACTGTCAAAAACTGATTTACAGAGATCATCAGTTTATTTATTTTTTGTAGAACAAAATAGGAAAAGAAAAAAAGTGGATTTATTACCTTTGTGTTCACTAGTCTGGTGCATATCTTTTATTTACCTCGGTCCATAAAAAGAAAGGGAGGCCTGGTAACAACTCCGCATTCAAATTTTTGTGCAGACCGACAAACATATGATTCACTTTTGCCAAATAGCCAAAGTCATCGATGTGCTTCCAACATCGAAACTTTAAGCCATGCTACCTGCAAATAAAAAAAGCAAGCACCATTTTATCAAATCTTAAGAAAGGAAAGACTCAACAGTTGTTTATTTAATAACTTTTAATTAACGAAAACAAACAATTGAAGTGAGTAAAGGACGCACCCAATTTTCCGTTGTTTCAAGAAGAGAAGGAATTGCAACAATCTTCTGTTATTTCTTTTATCTGGACTTTAATAAATACATTTAGACTAATAAAATATCTTTTATTAATCTAAATGTTTTTAGACCACAAACGGCAATCCAGTTCGGTCCTTCCCTGCAAAACAAAGTAAGCATTAAAGCCATGTTTTTTAAACTCCACGCCAAATTGTCCGATGAACAATATGCCAAAGTCATTCATCTGACAGATTTACCATCACAGGCTTGCTAATATAGTTGAAATTTATCCGTGACAAATTTCAACTAGAACATTAGCAAATCTGTTAACTGAAAACATGCCACTAGGTCTAGTACTCATGTGTTCATGAGATATGTTCAAAATTAGTTCACTGATTTGGGGTTTCTGGAATGCTGACCAATTAAAATCATTATACTGTGGATTTGGCGTGGTGGTTGCTTTTATCTTTTGTCGCTGCAAGTGGAAGAAACGAACGAGACGAGATCGTAACAAAACTAAAAACTTTATTTCTTCTCGCGTACTTGTACAACACATGTCTCGACGACGCGGTAACAAAGACAACTGGTTTTCGACCGTCTTTGTGGGGTGAGTTCGAATTTGTTCCAGGAAGTGGTGACTCATATGCTGGGGGTAATTGCTTGTCTTTTACAACCGTTAAGGGTACAGATGTGAAGGGTGGCATTCGCCACAATACCATTCATCAATTAAAAGCAACATGCTAGAGTTTTAAGAAAAGTTTACTCCTGCTATCTTCTATCCCAAGTGGTTTATATTTAAATTTCAATACCTTCTCCTACAAAGCTTTCATTAGTTGGGAAAGAACAATACCTCAATTCCTTAATTACTGCTTTGTGTCAAAGAAAGAACTTTTCCTTTTCCCTCAGAAGTAAAGTTAACACATCATTTCTACAACTTAAAAATCAAGGTTCAAACCAAAGGATTGTTTGCCAATTGAAGAAGTCTTTAGGAGCAAAAGAAAAAGTCTTATATCATCAGAAGAGGAAGCAGCTTAGAAATTCTTGAGGTTTGATAAGGGACAAAGACAAAACCTCCAACCACAAACAGAAAGAGATGTCTACACAGGGATAAAGGTAACTCAAACTAGACACGGAGGCAAAGAAAAAGAAACAGATCTTGGAAACTAGTGACCAAAATCATTCAGTTGTGTTAAGACAAAAGAAATGAGGCCAGGAAGCTAGCAATTACTTCTTGGAATTAGGAATGATGTTGAAACAAACGTGTGAAAAGACATCTGCTTACATGAATCAGGTAAAAATGGCAGGGATGAAGAAATAGGCAAAGGACAAGAACCAATGCTTGAGCCCCTTTTCTGTTTGAAGAAAACACATAATGAATTTCATATCATTGAAGAAGAGCACAGAACTGATGCCAAATCCATATAAAGATTATTCTTTAAATCTGTCAAATACAGAAATCACAAAGGAAAAGTAAGAAGCTTGCGTAAAAGAATTCTGTTTCAATGGCATGCCGCAAGAATTCAAACCAGATCCCAGGACAGACCCATCTACTTCTATCATGCTGCCTATCTAAATATCAAAAATTTTTAAATTTAGTCACCCACTCCTGAGCTCCGAGCCCATTCAACAACTCACGGAGAAAGAAAAGCAGTCTAAGCCAGACAGCGCACATCCCTATGCTCCATGTTATCTTTTCCTTCCTCACCACAACCTTTGGTTATCGACATTTTTGTCATGTACAAAGACCAGCATCCTAACTAGGACCAGCCCGGGCTCCATCTTCCTCCTTCCTCACTCGCTCCTCTCCCCTCTCTGGATGGTCAAGAGGAGGAGAGTAGGGGATTTTCTCACTCAGTCTGGAGAAAATTTAGGGACCCATAGCAATTCCAAACATATAAAATTTTACTAACAGAAAATAAAACTTTAAGATTCTTTTTTATTAAGTCAGTGCCATAACTTCATCATCAGAAATTTTTACATGTTCTTCCATCATCATTTACATGGACATCACTTTCATTTCAAATTCAATCATCAAATTTTTATCATCCTTCTCGAGTAACATCTGCTGTAATTTTTCCACATCCTTCTCATCATCGATAATTTCCATTTTCGGACAGAAAACCAAAAAACATTTAAAAAAAAAATAACAAAATATTGGCAGATGTAACTACGTAACAGCTATCAATTGAAACATCTTTGCTCAGTTATAACTAGAGCCAAAAGTTTTCACCAGTTTTTGGACCTAAAATCGCCAATTTTTTACATTAAATTTACCAAAAAAAAAAATTGCCAGTTATTTATTTCAGAAACGAGTTAAAACAAATTACACTTAGATATTTCAAATAATCCTCGCTTAAACTATGACTTCAATCGCTCAATATCAATGAATATAACGAGAACGAATGTTCAACGTCGACTGCAACTAAAAGAGCATATTCGCTATTAACTTTATCACTTAAATTCATATCAAAAGACGTAAATTTGATAAGATCAGGATTGCTTGACAAAACTTTTTCCAAATTTTGAGAAAATATAAGATAACCAGAAATAATTTCTTTTGCATTTTCAATTAGTTCGGCTCGTTTAGTTACACCGAGTCCTTTTTCTTCCAGCGATATTATAATATTTGATAGCTCGATGAGATTAAGTTGATCAAATAATTCTTTCTTGAAGTTAACTTTCTTCTCTCGCAATAGTTTCTTCTAGCATTTGAATGAGATTTTTGTTTATAGTTCAAAATGAAGCACTCAACAGTATCAAAATTATCGACATAGTACTTTGCAGCGTTTAACCAAGAACCCCAGCGAGTGACAATTGGTTCTGGAGGAAGATTACAAACTCCAGTTGCATTCTTAAAATAATTCTGTCTTCTCTTGACTTCAAAAAAACGTCTTCATTTCTAATATAAGCGAATTTGCTAATTTGTACTCATTCCGAATCCTAAATGCAACGTTACGTAAAATGCGAGCGAGACACGTGACGTGACATACATTTGAAAAAATCAATGAATTTTTCTTAATCTCACTGCCTTCATCATGGATTTTGCTCGATCTGTCACTATTAACTTCGGTTTTCAATATTTTAAATCATTTGGCCACAATTTTCTAGACACGTTGAGTATACATTCTTGTATTATAATCAGGGCTGTGGAGTCGCGTAAAAATCTACCGACTCCAACTCCGACTGACTCTTCCTTACCATCCGACTCTGGCTAAAACACCAAAACTCCACGACTCCGACTCCACAGCCCTGATTATAATGTTGTCAACTGTTGAGTGAAATGTCACATCAATTAACATTGATTTTGATTTCTCGCCATTCAATTTTCCTACAAGCACGTTGACCACTTTACATTGCACTTTGTCACTAGTTTCGTCAACAATGAAATAGACATCACGTCCATTAATTTCGTCCTTCATTTTTTCTGTTACTGAGTTGAAGATAGTTTTTTTTTTATGTGCCCGCAGTGCTAAAAAAATAAATAACGCAATGAGACTTCAAATAAAATCATGCTTTTTTTTTGGTACGGCGAAATATATTGCCACCTAATTCCTTAATCACGGAATCAATTTTAAACTCAATTGACTTGTTTTCTAGTGATGTGCCGGATCGTTAAAAATGTATATCCGCGGATACGGATACGGATACGGTTCATTAGTGTCTAGATCCGCGGATACGGATACGGATACGGATCTCTACTTTCGTACTCAGTCGGCGCCGGTGCGTGTGAACTTGGACCGATAGTTGACGCTTTGCGTTAATAACGCGACTTGTTTCGACTTGCACTGCGCGTGTTTTTGTTTATAGTGTGAAAGTGTGCTAAATTAGAATTCACCACAAAGGCAGACAGGATAAAGTAACAAAAGTTAATATAATTTTCCAATTGAGCTTTTTTGCGTCTTTATACAGATTCTATTTCGGGGGATTCCAACTTCACGGTACAAACAGTAGCATGCGAAATTACAGCGATAATAATAGTTCGCTGTATCCAAATCACGTGTACAATACAGATCCCGATCGCGACAATATAACCCGGAACCTTAAAACTAACCTTAAACACTAACTTAACACTAATAACAGAAAAAGGGATAGAATTAAGAAGACAGAAAAAATGATAGATAAGATAGAAATAG